CATAGGGAAGAAGTAAAATTCCTTAGGCTGGTACTTGATACTTTCTGCAATTTACCTTTTCAGCCTATTTTCAGTCTACTAACCTCTTTCTGGGTGGCAGATCTCCTTTAAAATCTGCTGAAAGCTATGGAAACTCTCAGTAGAAAAAGGCACACCCAATTTTATGTAGACTTTAGGACTACGCAGACTACAGAGGACTGTCCTTTTAGAGACTGTTCTTTCTAACCCAGCGGGACCACTCGTGGTGTCCTAATAAGCTTTGCTTCCTTGCCTTTGCTCACACCATGCCCAGTGTGCAATGTTTTATTTACCATTTTCCAGTCCTTCAAAAGCAGTCCTTTTTTAGGACTAGGAACAAGTTTTGTTAATTAAAATATGTGAAAGTGTCTAGCGTAGAACCCAGCATGTTTTAAAGGCTTGGTAAATCTTATGTCCTTCTTGCTTTCTCTTCTTTTCTACATGTACCGGTCTAATAAGTATCTTTCTCTCAAATCTTTGGTTATTCTACCAGTTCTGTTACTCACAAAGCACTTAACATATATTATACTCTGTGTGTCTCAACTAGATTTAAGTAGCCCAAGGGCATGGATCGTATTTCTGGATCTCTGCCCTCCCAAATCAAACCAAGTGCTTGGAGCTAAAAAAGCCCTTAGAGATCCAATTCAAAAATCTTCTCAATTTATTAATAAAAATATCCTGTTTTGGTTCACCTGCTCTGTGCCGCTTTCTCTTTGACACGCAGACTAAGGAGTAAGACCTGTTAGTGAGAGTTAGGGAACATAAAATACTGGTTCTCCTTTGAGAATGTTTCTCAGGTAAAACAGCCCAAAGGTAACACCTGATAAACCAAGGTGCTGCACGGGGGCTCAGTGACTTCGGAATAGATCTCTACCTCAAGTCCTCCTCCCAGGCAGGATCCACTGATGGCGGCCACAATAGGCTTTGAGGACTTCTCGAGTTTCTCAAACATTCTCTGTCCTTCCTGTGATAACTGTGTTACTTCTTGAGAGGTCTTGCAAGAGGCGAGCATGCTGCAGTATCCACGAAAACAGAGAGAAGAGGGATGAAACTGCAGCTTAACTTTGTTCGGTACTTCATCTACTAAACACTTTTCCTGTCATATACCAATGCTTATTCAAATACTGAGATTTAAGAGTGATTTTGTTTCAAATAGGGCTAATATCAGCAACATCATCTCCCTAAAGGAGTATTAGATTTCTGGATCCAGAAAGCATAAAACAAAATTTGTTGTATAATTTATTTTTGCTTCTATAACAAATCATTAAATTATAAAGCTCTGTGCATAAGAAAATCATATTCTGGTAAATATTTTCACTATCAGACTATACATTTTCACTATCAGTGAGGTATCAGATCAATCAGAAATCAAAATGACAGCAAAAAAAGAAAACAAACAAGAGACTTCCCAAGTTATTTACAAGGAATTTATACCTTTAAATGGATTCACTAATGATTAAAAAGGGATCTGGTACAGGGGCTGACAGGTGGTGTGGTGGTTAAGGGCACTGGACTCCCACATGGCTGACTGTGGTTCAGGTTGCAGACCCGGCTGCTTGCTTTCTCACTCTCTCTTTCTGTCCCTCTCTGGTCAAATTAAAATAAATAAATAAATAAATTTAAATTTAAAAACTAATATTTTTTTTTTTTAAAAAAAGAGATCTGGTACAATAATGTACTCAATGTCCTTGAAAGTCAGTTTGCTTCCCTCGCTATTTTGTGTCCAAACACACTGAAGATGTGGATTTTGTACTTTTGACCAAGGACAGCTAGTATTTCCTGTCATTTTATCTACTGAGAGTTGCTCAGCTGGCTTCGAAGAAGCTCCATGTATTTTTATGTGAAAATATGTAGCCACAGCCTGGCAGTGGGGTGGTGGTGAAGGCAGCTGGATCCCACATGTCTGGTGTAGGGTTTGAGTCCCAGACCTGGTAGCTTGAGAAACATACTGCGTGTGTGTGTGTGTGTACTCAAAATCCTGAAAGGAGAATGAAGAAAGGATGACAGAGTGGCCGTCCCCCTTGGGGAGTACTCTTTCACCTTCCCTCTCTGGCATAGGCATGCGCCCTGTCACAAATCAAAACAAAACAAAAATGTAGCCACTGCCAGATACATCCATGTCTCACTAACTTCAAATATTTGATATAGAAGGAAACCTACTGATATGGATAACTTAGCTTTTTCTAAACAGTAAACATTAAATAAACAGAATATTTATAAACTATAATCACAATATATAAGCAAAAACCAAAAAAAAAGCCACAATGGGGGCCTGCCAGGTGACATGAGGTTAAGGTAGCTGGATCCCACAGGGCTGACTACATGGTTTGAGTCCTGGACCCAATGGCTTAAAAAACACACTGGCTGCATGTGTGTGCTCAAAATCTGAAGAGGAGAATGAAGGAAAAGGGACTGTGGTGTGGTCATTCCCTGAAGAGGCGCTTATTCTCTCTGACGCTCTCTACCTAGTGCATGCACCATATAGCAAATTAAAAAAAAAAAAAAAAAAAAGCCACAATGTGGAACAAGGTTTAAAAATAAATAAATACCTTAAACACAAGTTACTGATCCTATAATATAACACTGGCTAACATCACCTAAAATACAAAGAAGATAACAGCTATTTTAACAGAATTGACTGTTAATGTTTTAATCCGTTAAACTAATATGGAAATGTAGTTTCTTCTTATGTAGTCTTATTTTTTTATTTTTGGAGAGGTTTTTTTTTTTTTTTTTTTTA